AGTGTTTAGTCGCGCACAGAACAGCAATAAATGTGCCGGAATACACATGAGGTGACTGGCTGGTGCTTGCAGCGATCAACGCTATCAGTGGCCTCAACTATTAAAAACTAACCTCAAAGAGTTTTTCACGTACGTTCAGTCAACCACATTTTACCCACTAACTAACCGTTATGTTTCCGGTTAGGCACTAAATCGTGATGAAGCTGCCCATAAAGGGTGTTGTCCTGTGGACAGTGATTAGCGTTAGATTGTATGGGATTTAATGGATTTAACGTAAGGTCCCTTGACCTTTGGCGTTTAGTTAGATTGTGAGAAAGGTAAGTATTTGAGTTGATATTAAGAGAAACAGATAAGTTTTTGAGTTTAAATTAAGAGGGTTACGTAATCGTGACTATATGTGGTTTAATGCTAAGCTAAACATTTTGATGGTAAATTTGAAGTTTTAACGTTATTCAGGGATGTTTTTTCAACAGGCTATAAATAGTTTCTAACATATGAAGCGTCTCTACAAATTTTGTAGTATCACTCTTTGTTCAGGGAACTACGTCCAGCCGAGGGGTAGACTAACTTTGAAACAACCTAACTATATATTGTGATACGACATCTACTTAACTCTGGAAAAGGTGAACTAACTCTACACAGTCGACGAATTAACATATGTTTTTAAGGGTAATGCTTACAAGTCCAAATTCCACAAATTTAGGATGATTTAAAATACGACTATTTCCACTTTAACTTCTCAACAATTTTCAAGGCCTCGAGAAAAATACGATTATATTTACTTTAAATTCTCAGTAGATTTGTTTTACCTTCTGATGACTTTCTACATGTAGGTTTCAGACATGCCAAATCAGATTTCGTTTGGAATAGTCTTAAGAAATATCCATTAAATCATTATTTGAACCGCCAACTGGTTTCGAATTTAATGAGTATGAGATGGGGGTATGGCAGTATTATATCCAATAATAAGTTTTAGAAACTCCACGAAGCAAAGAGAATTCAAGGCAGTATTGTTTAGAGTTAAGAAGGTCCTCTAGAAAGAGACTTTCAATAGACGACTACTATTTACTTAGTGATAATATATACAAGTTGAGTTTCAGCAGACCTTGGGGCGCTTGAAATAACACCTATATCCACTTTCCTCTAAGTACTCATTTTATCTTCACACAGAACGTTCTTTTATAAGCGGTTCACGGTTGTGATACCTTCCGAGGTATTTCAAAGTTGCAAGTCCCACCAAAATGAATCTTATTTATGAAACTACTTCCGATATTTATAAAACATATCAGATCCCTTTGGGATATCTTATAATAAGCTCTCGAAGCTCCACGAAACAACGACAATTCATTACCGTGTTGTTTAGAGCTAAAAAAAAGGGTCTCTAAAAGAGAGACAGGCGAATAATACCTTCGAAGGTGTTTCTGGATGCTAGTTAAAAGGCCCGCAAAATCAAATCTTTATATGGAAAGTCTTCCGATGTTTCTAAGACCTAACAGACCCTTTGAGAGGGCGTCAGAGCGGCAGTGTCTCTAATAATAAATTCTCGAAGTTTTAACAATCGAAGCAAGAACAATTTTGAGGAAGTGCAGAGCTAGAAATGTCTAGAGGAGGAAATGCTGCTAAGCTTTTAACAAACTAAAACTTCTTTCAAAGCAACGTTTATTGCAGTAAAATGAATTACGGCTTGTATTCTATTTGCTTTGGAAAATAATGTTTTCGCGAACTTTTCAACAAATCAGATCTGTTGTTCAAATTTTCAGAGTACGAGAAACTGTACCATATGTATGTATATATGTTAGGTAAGTTGTCTAAAAACGCTTCAATGCCCTCAAGAGGCCCCTTGTGAAACCACTGTGACTAAAATCTCCCCACTTTATGATGTTCTCTCTGAACCACCGTGTGCTGCTGGTGAAGTTCAAAAATTTAAACATCAAGAAACCCTCGGCCGATAGCTGCAGTTCTTTTCTCATACAAAGCTTTGCATTCGCCTAGAATAAGTTTTATAGACTCTTCATATTTCACCTTTTGACAGCTTGTACAATATTATCATAACATTTAAAGAGTTTTTATATCTTGGAAGTATAGATAACAACATCCCACAAGGACTAAAACTACTCTACATATTCTGCTAATCTCTGAAATTGATCATCTGTTGAATATATTAATATTTCTCCCATATGTGAGTATTAGTTCTTGACAGTATGATTTCACTTCCATAAACAATTATTTGAAAGTTCTGGAGAATATCCTACATACTTTACCAAAGAAAATTTCGAAAAGTATCATAAAACACCTAAATTTGTTTCCCAACTAAAACCTACGTTTTTTTATATTAGTTCGCTCTGACTTCAAAACAATTTCTTTTCAAAAGTTCTAGCTCCAACCTACTCTTTGTCACGCTTTGATTACAAATGTAGTAAAAACTACATGAGTTCAATTTCTTTTTTTGAACAGAAAATTTATCTTTGCTCCTAAAGTTAAGCAACGTATACAAAAATCGGAAATTTTATGAACAAAACTGGACAAGAGCACATACAAATAACGGCAAAATACTTGAAACGTACTCGTGTACTTGCAAACGCGTCTCGCTCATGTAGTATGTTCGGGCATAGCGCAGAGAGGAGTGGCGCAAATATGTTAGGGATATTTGTATATAAACATATAGTTGACAGTTGTTAGAGAAGTAAGGTCTCTATATAGTCAAATAACGACACATGTGTCTGTGCGCCGGATGATGAATGACAATTTTTATCTGATTTCGGTGTGCTAAAAAATTTCAACACAGAGGAAGAAGAGAAAAAAAGAAAATTGAGAACAACCCAAAAGCAACAACGAAAAATAAAGGAAAGAATGTGCAAAAATGTGAGAAAGAAATGAAAATAACGGTACAAGAGCAGACGTAAATATACAGAATGAAAAAAGGATAGCATGGTAACAACAAAGGGGAGACGAAAGGTGAAAATGTGGACCAACAAAATTCCGCGAAAAATATTATCAAAATTTAATAGATGAAACTAAGTGAAAATAATGTAATGAAAACGAAAACAAAAATATTTTTAAAAAGCAAATCAACAAAATGTGGTGCTACAATATGATAGCAATAACAAAAACGTGGAAAAATAATCACGAACACACACACTCACAATGGTGTTAACGAACCTAGAACCCACTCACGGCGCGCAAGGTACAATGAAGTACCTGTGCACCGTTATTGCAACAAAATGGCGCATCAATTTGCAAAACACAAGAACGAGAAATCGTATAGCAACCGACAGGAACTAACAAAGTACGAAATCAAATGGCAAAACAACAAAAACTAAAAATAACAATAAAATTGTAGAGCAGCATGGAGGGCGATGGCAAGTGCAATGGGCTGCGGAGTATAAAAAATGCAAAACAACAACAATAAAAATGAAATAATAACACAGCACGCTATCAAATGGTACGAAATGAAAATAATAGAATAGACAACAACAAAAACGACAACTATGTATTTTTGCAGGGCGAGTAAAATACCGTGAAAAAGTGAGGACGACTGAAATAAAAATCGAAATAAAAAAATGAAACAAAAGTAAAATGTTTAAATTGACGAAAAAACATGACGTTGCATACGTTAAAAGCTAACTTGTGAATTGGTTGATAACGTTCGCTGAAAATGACGCTAGTAGATGTGGTAGTAAGGTGGTGTGGGCAGGTGGAGTTAAGAGCACGTTTTTGGCATGTGGATGGGCGCATCAAGGGTACGCGTTTAACATGCCGGCGTTGGTGTTCTTTTATATGTATGCTTATATAGAGAAAGTAGATTTTTCATACAGCTTTGTGCATATTAATAGTAGCACTTTCTTTTAATAATTATTGATATAAAGTTAGTAACAATTTTTTGAATCCTTGGGCTTTTATGGGTATAAATATATGAATGTAGATATAATTTGTATACCGTTTTGTGCATATTAATGGACACACTTGCTTTTTCTATTTTATTTTTACCCAATAATTTGCGTCAGGAGTAAGGTTGGTTGGACTTTTGAAATATATGAAGGTTTAGTAAAGAAAATTTAAACAGTTTTGTGCTTATTAATAGAAGCACTTTCTTCATATTTTTTATTTTTACTCGAATATTGGCGTCAGGGATAAAGTTGGTTGGACGTTTTAAATTTAAGCAGATTTACTAAAAAATTTAAACAGGTTTCGCCATATTAATGAAAGCACTTGCTCTTAATAAGTTTAGAGATTAGGCTAATAACAGCTTTTTGGTTGTTTGGACTCTTTTAGATCTACATATTATATATGGAGGTAGTTTAAATTTTTATAAAGTTTTAGGCGCATTAATAGAAACACTTGTTTTAAATATGTTAGAGATAAAGCTAGTAACAGCTTTTTGACTGCGTGGACTCTTATAGGTATACAAATATGAGTTCAGATATAATCTTTATACAGTTTTGGGCATATTTATAGAAACACTTGCTTTTAGTGAACGAAAGTTGATAACAACTATTTGATTGTTTGGTTTTATAGGTACATATTATAAAGGTGCAGAAAGAATTTTACACAGTGTTAAGCATATTAATAGGCACATGTGCATTTTGGAAGCCGGAAACTAGTAAAAACCAGCAATTTGACTGGTATACGTAACACTTTATGCAGGGTTTTGACTCTAAATTGATTATACATAAAAATAGTGAAACAAATTTTGGAAATAATTTTTTTTGGAACATGCACATTGTAATTCTAAACTTTATTGCAATTCCGGAATTAATAAGCAATAACCGTTTGTTATAATTGTTCAATGCATTTTTTTAATCTAAAAATATCAGTTGTTTGTTCTATTCGCCACTCTCTAATATTTGACACGAGCTTTTCATATTTTTTCGCAATGTGCTACTATTAATATGCCCAAAACCGTATTTAGTTACATAAATTTGCATGTGATGTGGTCTAGAATATATATTATATACATATATATATATATATATATAGAGTGTGCGCGTCATTGTACTTACCAGCAAAAACTGATGTTGAATTGTGATGCGGATCGTAAGGACATACGGCTTGGCCGCTTTTGTTCGCCTCCTGGGTATAGTTGTACTCGTTGATTATGTATGTATTACACATAGGCCGAAATGAATTGGTGCCGCACACGAACAAACGACCCGGCGAAGTCACTACCATGATGCGAATGTAATTTTGACATGCCTCCTGTTAAATTGAAAAAAAAAAGAGAAAAGGTGAAAAAAATAAAGAGAACACAACGTGGCATGAGTAAACATTTTTTTGGGTCGAATCCGAGGGAATTAACTCAATAAAGTAAGAGCGGTTAAGCGCTATATATTAAAATGGAAAAATCTTAAATTTACAATGAGTTTAAAATGCGAAAAAAATCGGTAGACGGTGTATACAAATTTCAATTTAAATATATAGTTTTAGATAAATACTAAAGAAATGATTTTTTGTTTAAAGGAGTTATTTTTTTGGATAAAAATTCGTTTCACCAAAAACAAAAGAATGAGACTGCAGAAACTTAAAAAAACATCCTTGAGGCAAAATTTAAAATAAATTTGTATTAATCGGTTAAGCATATTTTTCCAAGTTTTTATTCGTTTGCGGAAGGAAATATACAGCTTTTAAGCTTTTGCTATAAAAAGTCGATTTAATTAAATATGAAATCTCAAGAAGTCTATCGAAATCGAAAATTTTTACTTCATAATAAAATTATTGTAAGTTTAATAATCTTCTTCGAAGAATATATCAAATTAAATTTGTGTTATATTTGTTTCGAAGGTGTTTTGCGGAAAGAAATCTTAAGTCTTTGACGGTTTTCGAGAAAGTTGCTTTAATTTGGTCATAATTTCTTACTGTATAGGCAATTACTCCCTTAACTATATGACATATTCAAACTCTGCCAATAAAATGGAATCGTGCTTTGTTCTAACCAACCCAAATTGGTTGCTTTCCTTTTAGAGCCCCTTTTAATATCTGATCAAATTTGACCCGAGCTTATCCCATTAACATAAGCGCGATCCGAAAAGATAAATATTTTTTCCCTTAATTGCTATAACAATATTGGAGATCGTGTTTCATCTCCTGGCGATTTTCATTATAGAAAAGAAAAATTGAAAAACTTTTGTTTGTGTTTCTAATGGAATTCGTTAAAATTGTTGCGCAAGTGTTTTAGGAAGTATACTTAATCGCGAACACAATTATTGGAGGATTCAGTGACCGTTAAGTAAGTCAACGAAACGAAAAAAAATATGCTTGTGAATGTAGCTGAGGACCCAACATTCATCTACCGCAACATTACTGGTGATGACACGTGGAATTTTCACGTACGTGAATATGACGTCGAAACTCTCCAACAATGTAGCGAATGGCGCTATTCTTGGAGCGGCTTAGTCGAATATGAAAAACACCAAAAATCTCTGTAGGCAATCCTAGCCGAAGCTTATTAACAAGTGTATGGCAGGTTGGGTGAAACGTAGGTAAGCTTGCCTTATTTCAGAAGCCTATTTTGAAGGCGATAATAAAGATTTGTAGTAAAATATATGAAAGTGTTGTCTTTTTTTATCAGAATATATATTGGATGATATAATTCAAATGGTGAATTAATTTTTGTGCTCAACTGATCAGAAGTGAAGACGTTGTATGGTATACGGTCCTTATGAAAGCGGGCTTGAGTTTCGTTGAAGTACTATTATGAATTCAAACTATAATTTTCAGGTTACTAAAAATAATTCAAGTTTTCATGCCTGACCAATATTATATGTTCGAGTTAAACCTTTCAATATGGTGGTATGAGATTTGTGGATGCAAACCGAAGATGGTACGGTATCCAGAAGTATGAGCACAGCTTTCTATGCTATCTCCAGCTTAATTATATCGGGTTTTGCAAAAAAAGTTATATGATGATTGATTGCCATTTTACTGTAGTAATAATCGTCTACCTGTGCTCGCTCTTCGACAAATCGTTGAATATTTTGAGCGTACATTTTCTTTACATATAATACAAGTATGAAAAATATGCACTTTAGTTAAGTGTGCGATTATCGTAAGGAAGTTGGACTACCGCTTTCCACAATATTTCCATCTCCAGTTTTCACCAGTTTTATCCACGATTTATGACACTGCAAAGTATCATGAATCGAATGCAGCTTTCGTTTTGATTGATTAACTCATTAACTCATATACACTTTATTTTACTTTATAAGATTATAGGGAATAGTGAGTGCTTCATGGAAACTCTGTAAGAGCACTCATAAGTGCTGTTGCATATTCAGAAGTTTATAACGAATTTTAAATGAAATTTTCTTAGAAGGCCTCTAATTTTATATTCGCTTTGAAGCTTCTCGTAACGCTCTGTTGTTGTGGTAACCAAAAGTTTTCTATTTATGTAATTTTTCAAATTTTGCTTTCATTAAATTAACAACATCAACTTCGCAAGTACTTTTATTGTTGTTGCACTTGATGGTTGATCAAATTCATTGGGAATGCGGCACTTTTTCAATTTTGGCTATATATTTGTTACCGTTGGATGATCGAATTGCATATTGTTCCTTTAAAAAAATTATCAAAATTGATTCAGGTCAAATGCACGAGACTGTGACGAAGTTTTCCAATTTCTTTATGTTTATGGATACTTTTGTTGGTTTTGTTTTGCGTTTATTTGGCGAGCTTTAGCAGAGCTATTTATCAATTTTTGCATATATTTAATTCAATTCATTTTTCCAACACTTCCGTACAGTTTTTGCACTCCGATTTGTTTACTTATTAATAAGTGGGGGCGAAAACGGTAAAATGACGGCCATATTGGTTTTTGTGCTCGTGTCCGCACGCATACTTAAACAAAAACACGCACACAATCGCAATTCAAATATATACTATACAACAGTAGAAGACCAGTAGTTAAGCGACTTTTTCTGATATTGACACAACACTATATACTTAGGTATGTATAGGGCGGTCCTAAAATTTTAGATTTTTTTTTTAATATTATTCCTAAAAACCAACAACAATAACAAATGAAAGCCGTGGTATTTTTTTTAATGTTTATATATGTATGTATGTATTCATGGGGTGATTCTAAAATTTTCGAAAAAATTAAAATCATGCGTTTTGTTTATAATAAGATTGCCCAAAAATACCAAATTATTTTTTTTAAATTATATTTCCTAAAATATCAGTAGTTATGGTTTTTTTTATATTGACACAACACTACATATAGATATACTTATATATAGGGTGGCCCTAAAATTCTGATTTTTTTATATTTTAATCCCAAAAATCAAAAACAATAAGAAATGACACTCGTGGCAGTTTTTTGATTTTTTAGCATATTATTATATAATATTAGGGTGGTTCTAAAATTAGAAAAAATATTGTAAGGGTTAGCGACGACATTAGCAAATGGAAATCACCCGTAGCTATAAGACCTCTTCCATCATCAATAGACGACATTTGACTCACTTATATATAGGGTTGTCCTAAAATGTCACACATTTTTTTTTAAATCATATATCCCAAAATACCTGTAGTTAAGCGACTTTTTCTGATATTGGCATAAAATTATAAACAATATTTATACTCATGTATAGGGTGGTCGTAAAATTTTGTAAGAAAATGTTTACATTGTATTTCCTAAAGGAAATCAAAATACAGGCAGTAGGAAGTTTACAAAATTTAGCACTGAGTTACCCCTTGTACACTTCTGACGTTGTAAAAGGACTCATCGTTAAGAAGATTGACGAAATGAAGCAAAAAAACATCGCTTAATTTTTTATGAACCACCCTAACACAATTATATATTCGCCGTTACAAAAGAAACTATTGAAACAAGAGGATATGAAGAGATTGACAAAATTAGGTTAAAAAATCCAGCACTAATTTTTTAAGAACCACCCTAATACACATCTGTATTTGACGTTACGAAGCGAATCATCGAAACACGATATTTTAAAGAGATTGATGGAATGAGACAGAAATGCAACACTTAATTTTTTAAGAACCACCCTAATGTACATTTGTATTCGGCGCTACAAACCGAATCATTGAATTTGGACTAACAATAATCGCAAAGAACTACATTGCAGCAGCATCATCATCAACACGAATGACAGCCGCATCAGCAACTTTGGCATAAAGTCAGTAAGTCCCTTCTGGGCTGCCCGAACACTTCATGCGTACGCGTGTGTGTGTATGTACGTTAATGTGAACACGCTAACGGCAATATTTCAGTACAAAACATTTGTTAAGTCATTCGAAATGGTACTGAATACAAAGTAGCCAACCAACCGAGCCGCTTACCGCGACAGTTATGTGCGTATACCAAGTATTTTGCGCTCGTGGCATCTAACACGCGTCGGCAATGGCTCGACCACGCGCATGCCAGCACCCACATAACGGTGCGTAAATATTATCCGATATATGTATGTAGGTGTACTATAGATGTAGGTATGTATTTTCAACCATAAAATACCATTCGGCTTGGTATTTGAGCTGCTTATTTCGCACAATTGAAAACCCCAGGCGCATAGCCGAGCTCTATTGTTTTGCAAAGCTCGTCAATGCAATAATTTTACTGTTATTAGTTAGATAACGTAGATAGATTTATGTGAGTTGGTAGGCAAACGTATGCTGTGGGATTTCTTCACAGCTGAGGGTGGTTTCTGTATTAATAGAAATACCCACCTTAATTATTAGTAAGATTTCTTGTTGTATTTGGAAATGAGTAGTGTCAGTAATGAGTGAGAAGAGCTGTTGATGCTTTAGATGATTTTTAAAGTTGGCTAGAGATAATTGAAAACCATACATGGTTTACTCTTAAAAAATTTTTAATTTTCTAAAACCGATTTTTCCAAAAACGTTAAGCTATTAACTATCAAATTTATATTACTTTATCAGCCGAAAGCCTTTGATGCTAGCGCTGCGTACTTTAGTTTATTTAATAATTTGTTTATTATGTAAGCTTTAATAAAATAAAAAAAATATTACTTTATATTCGATTTATTCTTGGTCAATTAAATTAAAATCGATATCCGAAATATAAATAATTTAATAATACCGATTTTTTCGAAAACTTTAACTACCACAATCAATTTTTTTTTCACTGAAACGTTTTCCTGTTCTTATTATTTGAATTAATCAAATCGAATATAAACCGGTGAAAACCAAAAAAAAAATTCGTAAGCCGATTTTTTTTGTGAATT